GACCCCCCCCCCCCCCCAAATTATTCTCTTTAGATTATATCCTGCCTTAATATGTCGGCTGATAGCAGTGCAGAATGCAATGAGATCACAAAATGGCGACCATCGCCACAATTTCGCGTTCCTGACTGTACACGTGTGTCCGGCAGAAACTTTTGGAGACACCGAAGTCACCGCATATTTGGCACTGTCAAGAGAGGAACAACTTTTGGTAAACAGCCTCATTATATTAAGTTAGCAGCGCCGATCACATTACTTGTCAGACCGAACCTTTTCAGGTGCAAATTCCACTCGCTCGAAGGTCCTTGAACTCGCATTTCAAGCCAAAAGTATCCTGCCCGAAGATTACACTTCCTTTTCTTAACCAATACCTGTCAGACGTCTAACAAACTGACAGGGAAACGAGTTTCGTTCGGATTATGACGTGATGTTGATCTGCGTCCGGTCGCCCGTGAAGGCTTAATTGCATTCTGTCGCCGTGAAACATTTATGTTCTCCAGCAGTTCCATACGCATCAAGTGCGTGAAGGCGCAAGGAGTCAGCTTCCTCAAGTCCCAGGCCACACGACGGGCGTTTGTAAATGATCTGAGGTCTGTCTATTCTCCTCAGCCGACGAGGCATCAGATGAATGACTCGATTTTCCTGGACAACGAAACTCGGCTTCGATCTGCCTCTCACCTTTGCAGTTTGCGTTCCTTCGAGACGCGTCAATCGTGGTTCTGTTTTTCTGTTCGCATGCAGGACGGACATACTCGTTTCACGGAACAAATGCTGTCACAGCTGATTGCTTCCCCCAGATGAGGCTGTACCGGGATCACAGGAAACCTATAGGATCTAAGCTCCACTACGAATGCATTTTACTTACATACAAGAATAAACCAAATCCGTGAAGTCATTCTTCAGAAATTCGCTCAACTTGCCCATACATTCCCTGCCATTTATTGAACCTGAAGGTTCTTCACCGAGCCTGCCCGAACCCTGTCTTGACCAAGATGAATCTAGTTCACACCTTCGCAATTTATTTCTTTAAAATCCACTTTAAAACTGTGCTGCTATCTATTCCATGCTAAGATTTTACGGACCCTATCTTCCCTATGCGTGGTACACGTCCTGAAGATGTCATCTTCCTTAGACTGACGAAGACTTCAAAGAATCAAGTCCGCATTTTTCTCCATCCTGCTGTGTTAACTTCTCCCTCAGCGCCCAGCAATCAACCACCATCAGCGTGTTCTTTCTTCAGGGCGCAGACGAAGTATTCAAGAGAACACGCGTGTTAGACGCTTCGTGATCGTCACGAGTTGATAAGTCAATCTCCACAGCGTGTCACTGTCCACCTGTTATCGCGTCATCTTATGCAGAGAAAAATACCGGCAGATCACGTTTGTGGTGCAAGTGGCGTACCTAATATCCAGACCATGTGCATTACCTAAATAATAATTCTGCAGATTCCATGTGACAAGGGCAGTGCAGCGGATAAGTTACGTGGCCTACGCAAGACCAGTCACTCCTACGTCACACAGCACAACTGTCCGGATGATGAAGTGTCCTTATCGCGAGTTCGCAATACACTACATTAAAACGCTGACCGGTTCGTTGCGTGATGCGATCAACAAATGTTCCACCTTCACATAGAATCAGCTCATTCAAGCACATTTTCTTGACACAAGACAAATTGTTAGGAATGGCAATCCAAGCGTTTTATATTACACAACGACAAATGAATTCACATTACAAATTCAATCAGGATTAACGTCCCGAATTTGATGGACGACGGATGAAATGCAACTTTCGTGTAAACTCAGTAATAAATTAATCGATCAGGAAGTCAAGATCAGTACAAAGCCAACAGCTTCTTAAATGCCCTACTACATGGTCTGGTCAGGAACCTGTTTGAGCATTTCGGAAAGGGGCAGATCCCGTGAGACACAAATGCTGCACTGCCTGTTCTTTGAGTCTGATAATAATAGATTCGTTTCTGCTCTGAGTGCAATGCTAAAGACATGACAGCAAGAAGTCCGCGGCGGTCTCACGGGTAGCAAGTGGAGGCCGTAATGTCCTGCCTGCCCCACAACGTCACGCGAAGTATTCCAGGATTAAGGCCCAACGAAACTTCCCGCCATTACTAGAGCACCAGGTTCGGTTCCCAAACAGATGGCTGTCTTTGCTGCTTTTGTCAAAAAAGAGCGTCTCGTCCTGAAGCCCTACTCTCCAAAGCAATTTGTTCAGAATTCGGATGTTAACACCAACATAAGGTAACGAACAAGACGATACGAAGTTGTCTTAAACGTTACTGACAGGAGACGTCAGTCA